AAGGCAGACAATTAATGACTGAGCCACCCAGGCGTCCCCTTCAGTATTTCTTGAAAGGGATTTTTACTAGAAACAAATTCCATCTGCTTTTGTTTATCTGGGAAATGTATTATTTCACCTTCATTTTCTAAAAAGATAGTTTTACTGGATTTAAGATTCTTGCTTGACATTCTTTCTTCTTTTACTACCATGAATATGTGATCTGACTGTGGTCTCCATTATTTTTGTTGGTTGGTTGTAGCTTCCGAGGTAGAGTTTAGGGATTCATCAGTTGCGTATCACACCCAGTGCTCATTCCATCATGTGCCCTCCTTCATGCCCATCACCCAGGTATGCCTTCCTTAAAATGGCTGCCTTGAAGTCTGTGTCTACTAAATCCAACATCTGGGTCTCTTCAAGAGCACTTTCTAGTATCTGCTTCTTTTTTTCCCCCTATGTACAGGTCACACTTTCCTATTTCTTTGCATGCCTCATGACTTTTTCCTGACAATTGGCTGTTTTCATTTTTAAAGATTTTTTTTTAATTTTAAAGTAATCTCTACAGCCAACGGAGGGCTTAAACTGACAACCGTGAGATCAAGAGTCATACGCTCCACCAACCAAGCCAGCCAGGTGCCCTGAGAGCTGGGTATTTTTAATAACACAGAACAGCAACTCTGGACACTGCTCCCATATGCCTGAGTGGTTGATGTTGTTGTCTGCTTGGTTGTTTAGTGACTTGGCTGAAGAAATCTGAGCAGAAGAAATCTGAGCAGAAGTATGAGAGTCTGTCTGTTCACTGTAGAACAAATTGATTTCTTCTTGGTTTTTCTCTCTTACCTGGTCATGTAGGAGTCACTCCTGGGTCAGCATAGGCCAGTTACTGGTCACAGATTGTGCTTAAGCCCCCACAGCCAGTTAGCTTTTTACCCTCTCCCATTGGGTGTATGTGTGGCGTGGAGGCTGCTATCACAGTTCAAGGAATCTGTTTTGGCCCCACATCTGGCCTGGTAGTAGCAGCTTGGATTTTCCCTCTCGAATCACCTCTGGGAGGGCACGACTTTGAGCATGCAGTCTTCCAGTCTACCAGGATACGTGTGATTTCTTTTTAAGCCTGGTTTCCTAGGAATTGCCCCTGGGTCAGAAAAGCTTATTAATTGGCCAGTGGTTAGTCAGAGGCTGTGCTTAAGTCCCTAGTGCCACTGAGGGCCCTGTCCTTTTGTTGCTTGATCTGCGTGAGGCTCGAGGACTGCCTTAAAGTTCACCTCTTGTCCTAGCCTGACTGCTTCCAGGGAAATGGAGCCTCGTGCCTATGTGCAGCCTTCCTAATCCCAGGGCTGACTGTGATGCCAGGAGAGGTCTTTCTTGACTGTCTTTCTCCTTGGTTCTCTCTGTTAGCAAACTTCTGACTGCTCAGCCATTTCGCTTGTTGTAAGGTGTATCACAGAGCTATGAGAGCTCTCTTAATTACTGCTTACCAAGATTTCCAGTATTTTTAATAACTGAGCCACCCAGGCACCAGATTTCCAGTATTTTTGACAGTGCTTTTACAAATGGAATTCTTCATGATCTGTTCCGCATAAAAGTCAGGTCCTTCCAGTAGAGCGAAGGAGTTCTTCATCTTTCAGGCCCCTTGACCTAAGCAGAACCTCGGTGCCACTGTCCAAAAATGGCATAAAAGAAAATTTTCTTTATGAATGTGGATGCCAGGATGTTTTTGGGGCTTGCTACTTTAGGCATGAACCTCTGGCCTGTAAGCAGGCTGGGGCTGGAGCAGCAGGAGTCCAGTACTGTCAGCGCGCTGTCCTGAGGAGAGGGCTTCCACCCTGAGTGGGGGCTGGGTGGGAGGAGAGAGACCTAGTATTCCGGGTTGGCCTGGAATAGAGTTTTTGCAGACAGAACTAGGGCACTTGAGAAATGTCGGAGGCCTGTCCAACCCAGGGGAGACCACAGCTCCATACTGGGAGCTAGGGAAAGAGGGAGCCCCCAGCTTCTTGACCACACCCATTTGGATTAGAACTCCCTGAGAAGTTTTTGTAAAATACAGCTTGAAGGGGGATGGTAGCAAAGCTGAAGGCTGAAGACCCTTGCAGTTGTCTCTGAGATTTCATAGATTTTCTTCAATGAATGTTTATTTGCTGTATGCCCCTAGTACAATTTCAGATGCTTGTTTTGTTTTGTTTAATAATATTTTCCAGTTAATTAGGTTATTTGTTGGTGAAAGAGTCTATCACACTCCTCATTTCTCCATTCTGGAAGTCTCTCTCATTAAAATGTTAATACTGGCTGCTGAATCCATCTTATTCACTTATAAAATTGTTCTTCTCTTTCTACCTTGTGTTTATTGTTTCAAATATTCCTTTAAACATATCAGAATGTCTGTCTTCCCCTCCTTCAACTATTACAGTGTAATTTGGATGGTTTCTTTTTGTTATCCTTTGAAAACATGAACTATTTATAATTAGCCTTTGATATACAGTTTATTCAAGGGGTCTCTGAACATCTAAATAAATTATAGCTACTAATTCTTTCCTGTGTCTTTATGCTAATGGATACTTTGGACCTTAAGTTTGTAACTGCACATATGAAACCTAGCATGTATTGGGGATACTTACATACAGAACTCTGACTGCCATAAAATTCTTCATTTTTGAGTCCATCACTGCCTTAGAACATTGCCTTTCATACAGCAAGCACTCAAATATATGCAGAATAAATGAAGAAAAAGGACTATTTCCTTTAACAGAAATAAGCTAAATGATTATGCCCATTTGCATCCTGGCTGAACCTATTCCTCATGGCGTGTCCTCCTATCCCCTTGGCTAGTTTGTGAAACTCACAAAGCTATTTCCAATGACCCCTCGGGGGCCCCTGCTAGGTCATATAACTTATTCCGCTAAAACTTTAAAAAATTCTCTTGGATAGTATGGGCTTTATTTTATCTAGTGTTGGAAAGCTGTACTACATGACCCAAGGACCCTTTTTTGATAAATAACAAAGGAGACCTTTGTAACTGCTGACTAAACCTATTATCTCATTTAACATTGTTTTACCAAGAAAGCCATGTATATTTTACCAAACCCCTGCATACCTTTACTTCTCCCTATAAAAAGGCAGACTCTGCACTCAATCTGAATCCCCTTATCCACATCGCTTAAAATGACATCCTCAGCTTACTGACCCTATATAAAACAGGACATTAGCAATACCACTGATCACGTTATCGTTTTCCCTTGAAAGAATAGTATTCTCAAATTAAAATTACACATGAATGATGTACTTTGCCTGTCCTCTATAGCCAAAACCCAAACCTGGATATGGCTGTTCTATAAATAATTCATACAACAACCTCATTAAAGCCTGATGAAGTGCGCCACCCAATGGCCGTACTGCCATACTGCACTCATTAAATACACAAACATGTATCAGCGTCTATAACTTCCTTCCAGGGACCGGAAACCACTCTAGGGTAACAAAAGAAACACTGAAGAAAAAGGAAAAGGCAGTGGTTGCAGCAGGGAAAGGATAGCCTTCAAGAGCTACGACACCTTGAAATGCCAATGGCAATTTGGATGTGTGGCCACCTCAAGGTGATCGAAGCAGAGGCAACAATGTGCTTAAAAATTATGCAGCCCTTTACTGTGTGTCCCTCCTCACCTACAATGGGAGTTGGAAAACTATGGATGGGAACAGAGTCAAATGAGACTCAAGGCCATGAGACGGACTGGACTCTATTTTGCTGCACAGTTCAATCTTAGAAATGGCTCCTGTTGCAGGGCTCTGATTTTACGTAAGTTACTCAGGGCCTCCAAGTTCCCAAGGCACTGTTCTAGGTGATCTCTTACTGATTCTCATTTAATTCCTTTAGAGTTTTAATAGTGTCACTCCTAAAATAGCTTACTTCCTCTCAAGACCTTCTGTCCACGTTCAGGGGGGTCATGGGGTTCTTCCAATATCTACAGGGCTAAATTGTGGAAGAAGTACAGAAGAGGGGACTTGGACACATATGGAGATGTTTGCCTAGATGAGAAGCTGAAAAGACCCACCTATGAAGCAAGACACAAGGAAAAGACTCAGTACCATTAGGGGGAAAAGCCAAGAGTCATTTTTGTTTGTTTTTTTACCCTGTTATGTATATACCATTGCTTCTATCCTAGAATATATTAAGAAGATACCCCAAATGAAGAGGGTCGATGAAAAGTTCACAACCCACGATAAAACAGTCACATTACTGATAACTGCAGAAGTTTCTACTTTTAAAGGGCAACCCTGTACCTGCCTTATGGTTTGGCCTTGCCAGAAGGGGGAAGTATAGCAATAGGAGAAGGCAAGTCCTAATTAGGAGTCCTGAGTTCCAGTCTCATGGTAGTGGAGGGGCAGTCATATCTCTCAGCACTTCAAATACTCCTGCTATTTCAGAAAAAGAAGAGGTATGCTCCTTCCTGTTAGAAAGACTAACGAAATCATACCGACAAGGTACTAAGAGATGGACAAGTGAAGCCCAAAACTACACTCACACTCACAATTGACTCTAGGACACAATGGATGAGAAGGCTTGCCTAATGGCACAAACTTCTAATAGTTGTTCTTTGTATGTGGCCAACATGTGCTAGACCTATGGGGCCCCACAGGACCTCAATATTCCTAAGGTTAAGGAAAGAAGTAACACTTACCTATGTCACATTACCTTACACTTGGATTGCATATTATGTTTTTCAAAGAGTTTTCACATCCATTATTTCACTTAACACAGTTCCCAACATAATGGGAATACAAAATACGTAAAAGTATTTGTCAGCTGACTGCCTCAAAAGAGAGACAGACTCGACACAGCAGTTGTAATGCTGAAAAATTGCAAGTACACACAACACACAATTCTGTTACCCCCGAATCGTGTTTCTCCAACTGAAGTCCATGCTAGGCCTTAGGAGAAGCATAAATATGATCACCATCCCGACTTACTTCACAGGAAAATGGACCCTGAGGCTTACTACTGAAGGCAGACTATGTTGTCTACCCACCTGGAAAACTGAAAAACACTGGAATCCAGAGGCTTAAGCTGAAGAGAAGGTGTCCTGCTTTCTTCTCCAACAGATGGAGGCCGGCTAGGACTATCCATTCCTTCATATCCAATTGTCTTATTGTTCAAGTCATCCATATCTCGACTAGCAGGGATCTTCAGTGGATTGGCAAATACCTAGCAAAGAAAGAAGCGATTCATAAAAATCCCAATTTCAATAAAATACCAAAAGGATGAGTCAAATCCTTCTGATGCTAGGAGAAAACACTTGGCCAAATAAAAAGAAACTGGTTTCCTACACGAAACAAACAGCGCGCAGTAACGTACACTAGACCACTGAACCTAGTTCAGTTATAACCTTATTGGCTGGACACCAATAGACCTCCCCAACTCACTTATTGGCTCCTAGGGTCACCCCCCCCACAACACACCAGGCCCCCGAATCACCATCTAATTCTCTCCTGTGACCCAGTTGAGGGCTGGGGGTCACTCCTCTGAGATCTGTGATGCGGGCAGGGGTGGAGGGAGTAAGCATCGCAGCAAATGTCAGGGCTGGTTTTGGAGAAATGCATGCAAGAGACGAACGCATATTCCCAGTGCACACACACAGAGACATGCATCTAAGATCTCGTGGGAGAGCCAGCTGAGGAAGAGAGTGGAAACGATGAAGGTAGAGGAATATAAAGGGGAGGTAAACTGAATGAGGACAGGGCGGTCCCAGGACATCTCCCAATCTCTAGATCAGACGATTAAGCCAAGACATTAGGGTATGAAACCTGGTTATTCATATGCCTGGGTCTCAGTAGGATGTCAGAAGATTAGTATCGAATTGCCTCTATCCTCACCAGTCTGACCTACCCTGATTGGGAGGGGAGAAGGAGAATCTAACATGCTACTAGCAGATATCTCTGGGAAAGAGGGTCAAGAGGAAGATCATGCAGAAAGGCAAGGTTGGGTGGGGAAGAGACATGGGTGCTATGGTGGCTGTCAGGAAAGGAGTGTCCCTGAGAGGACGGCCAACCTTATTGCACCCTTCAGCGTCCGGAGCTGGGCAACCATGTCCGAGAGACAGTGCTCCTGAAAATTCAAAACAGCAGAGTCTTTATAAAGCCAGCCAGCCTGAAAGCAGGGATAGGGGAGGGGCACAGAGAACCACCCCTTCTTCCCAAGAGGAAGGAGGAAGGAATCACCCCTGAATCCTGGAAGAAAGGAGACTGAGGGAAAAACCAGACACTCAATAGGAGCAGCCTGTATGAGGATGGAACACAGCCTTGAATATTCTGGGACACTGAACGTGACATTCACACTGTCCATAATCAGTATGAAATCCAAATCTGAGAAATAAAAGATTTGGCTCTTCTATTTTTGGTGATCTGAACATCAGTAACAGCAGATCAAGGCAAAATCAAAAGATCCAATGGAAAAAAAGATCACCAGAAGAAATGGTTTGTTATTTCTACGCAGCTCTCAAGACTGCTGCTTTCTTCAACCTATGTCCTCTGTTGGGGAAAATTTTGTGTGAGAAAACAAAGATGGCGGACTGTCTCTCACCTGGTGGTTCTCACTGTCTACTGGCAGCTTCTTCTTCTCAACCACTTGATCCCTAGGAGAAGATAAAAGTGTTATTTAGTTCACTCATGAAATTTCTTCATCTGAAATGGTTTACCGATTGTAGATTTAGGTTATAAGGTTCCTTCCAAGCTGAGTAACTGAAGGTACCTTCCTAAACTCTGCCACTGAAGATAGAGGTCCAATGCCCCATCAAAAGAGAGAGAGGGGGAAGGGAAGGTGAGAGACAGAAGACAATCATGTGTTAGACACTCAGGAGATGATTAGAAGGAAGAAAGAATTAGGAGAACAGAAATGAGAGGGAAATCATTCAAAGCCAAAAAAGAAAGATAAGTCATCTCTCTTCTTAAAACTCCCCCTGTCCTGTTGGGAAGGGTCAAGTCCCCTCTACTGTATGATCTAAAACCTTAGGTATACTCAACTGTTTTTTAGCTTTGTTCAAGTACAGGTCTTCATCGATGAGTTCTTGTTCCTCTGGAACAGAGCATCTCCTGCAGTACAGAGAAGAAATCATCTTTGGGAAACAAAATGTGCCCTTTGGTTTTACCCTTTGCTTTCCTTACAACTATAATGAGGCAGGTCATAGAGGTTAACAACCCTTTGGCACTACAGAGTTCAGATTCCACCCACATTACAAAACCTGTGTGCCATGTCACCATGCAACAATTCTTTTTCGTTGTTGTTTTTAAAAATTTTTATTCGAGAAAAAGTGAGAGGGAGAGAGAGAGAGAGTGCATATAAGCACGAGCACAAGCGGGGGAGGGGGGCACAGGCAGAGGGAGAAGCAGACTCCCTGCTGAGCAGGAAGCCAGATGCAGGACTCAATCCCAAGACCCTGGGATCATGACCTGAGCCAAATGCAGATGTTTTACCGACTGAGGGCACCTAGATGTCCAACATGTAGCAATTCTTACTTCAAGGCACACCATCATCTAATTTTTGGTGCATATATACCTTTCCCCCAAGACATACAAAGTACTTGACAGCTACAAAATTCCTATGATGGTGCATGGCAAGAAGCATAATCTCTATTTTTACACAGTGGATTTCAAGGATGAGAGAGACCTGCCTGAGGTTCCACATACAGAGATGATTGCTGAGACCAGAACCTGGGTCATACGCCTCATGTTTATGAAGAAAGTAATTCCCAAGGTGCAGTCTAGAAGCATGAGAATCCCTAAACTAAGTAATGATGCTTGAAGAAGAAAATCAGAGGTGATGACAGAGGGAAGCAATAAGGGATTAGGAGCTTACGTTGTAAAAGCAAAATAGTGGAGACTAGAGCAAAGAGGAGAGAAAAGAGGATTCTATAAATGGAAATACATCTGTTATATGTAGAGCACAAGAAGAGAATCTTAGGAGTAAACACTAAAAGGAGTACTAGAAAATGTATTCAGTGATCTAAAGCAATCCTAGAACAAATAAACAGAAATTCGTAATGACTGGAAACCCTATGTTATACCCATTTTTTTTAAAGATTTTATTTATTTATTTGACAGAGAGAGAGATCACAAGTAGACAGAGAGGCAGGCAGAGAGAGAGAGAGAGAGAGAGAGAGAGAGGGAAGCAGGCCCCCCGCTGAGCAGAGAGCCCAACGCAGGACTCGATCCCAGGACCCTGAGATCATGACCTGAGCCGAAGGCAGCGGCTTAACCCACTGAGCCACCCAGGCGCCCTGTTATACCCATTTTATAAGGAGGCATTTCCTAGAAGGCTATGTCTCCTGAACTAAAGTGTAAACTGACAGAAGATCCAGACTTCAAAAATGAGACTCCTGAGCACTTAGTCCCAAGTTCTAGTCCCACCGTCCCGGTTACTGTCCAGGGAGAGGGGCTTAGGTACATCTGGAGATGATGGGGGAATGCTTACTCATCACAGACCTAGACCTCACTTACTTAATTTCCTCCATTTTAAACATTTTCCCTAAAACGCATACCCTGTTTTAGTACCTTTTTTTCTATCAGCATTTATCCCACAGGGGAAAAAATATATTAAGAAAGAGCTGAAGTGAAGCAAACCGTATTATTATTTTAAACCTGTGTGACTACTGAGTCAAATCGGAAATATCTGTTAAACCGAAATGAATGCTCATGGATATGCCAGGCAGTATCCAGATGTTAGATGCTGCAAGGGACATGTGCACAGACGGCATTAAATGCACAACAGGTACCACGATAGATTTAGGAAGAGGAAGGGAAGCATATGAAGAAAATCATCAACTCCACCTGAAATGTAAAGCCCTTGTTCTCAAGTAGTTTACAATCATTTGGAGAGCCAAAGTATATACATATGAACACTATCTAAAGAATACAAAACAGTATGTGAACAAATGTCAAGAATTAAACACCACAGGAAGCCAGCATAATATCACTGTAAACTACTGTCAACAGGAGAAGTACCACACAAGAATACTTCAGCTTCCCAGATGGATACGATTTCGACAGGCAGATGGAATGCGGAAACACACTGTAAGCAAGGAGAATGACACTCTCAAGTCATGGAGGAGGGAACAAGTATGGTGCGTGCAGGGAACACTGGTGCCATAGGCCTGGTGAGAGCATACGATTTGTGTTAAGCTACAGTGAAAACTAAGGCTGGATAGGTAAGGTGGGATCAGTTAGCAAGGGGCTCCGATGCCAGGCTGCAGAGTGTAGACTTGAAGTAAAGTGTTTTAAGTGAGTAAAATGAACCTAAGGGAGTGGGGTTCCGGTTATGGAGTAAGTCCTGGGAATGAAAGCTACAGCAAGGGGAATATGGTCACTGATACTGTCATAGTGCTATATCGGGACAAATGGGAGCCACACTCGTGACAGCAGAATGGATAGACTTGTTGAATTACTATGCTTGTGTCAGACATCTGAAACCAATGTAACGTTATAGGTCAACTATACTCAAAAAGACTTTTTAAAAAAGTGTTTTAGAATATAGAGACAAATCAGGAATGTTCCCTAACACAGAACTGAGTCCCAACCTTACCTGTACTTTGGATGGGAATTATAGTAACAAAACCATCTTGCAGGTAATGTAGACGGATCAACCTTGCCAGGAAGCTTCCTCCATTTAAGACACTCATCACACTGTACCCATGTCTGGTCAGGAATTTTCCTGAAAGAAGGAAAACAGAAGTATGACTGTGTATATCCTAGCTCTGTGCCCTTACGTTAGAAAGACACACCCCAAAAGTGAAAGAACAAAATTTTATATAGGAAATGTGTTAGAACTGCTATGTTATGGTCAGGGTGTCTAAAATATGCATCTTGGGGGCGCCTGGGAGGCTCAGAGGGATAAGCCTCTGCCTTCAGCTCAGGTCATGATCTCAGGGTCCTGGCATAGAGCCCCGTATCGGGCTTTCTGCTCAGCAGGGAGCCTGCTCCCTGCCCTCTCTCTGCCTGCTTGTGATCTCTCTCTCTCTCTGTTAAATAAATAAAATCTTTTAAAAAATATGCATCTTCAACTTCACAAATAAAGTAATAATAGAACTACACCAGATATGGAGATGAAAAATTATAACAAGTATTAAGAAGGTAAGCTACCATTATTTATGGAAGTAAATAATATTTATCCAGAATCACTTGTTTTAAACAAACAAGATGATAATTTTAACTCTAAAATTATTAGGAAAAAATCTATATACACATCAATATATAAATATATATATTTAACAATATTACCAAGAACCAAAACCCACAGAAATCATTTTATTTGCTTCTATCCAGCTGTGCAACAGGCTTAAAGTGCATTTGTAGGAGTCACAGAAGCATCATCATCACAAAATCTACCCCATTTCCCTACAGACTCCCTAGTCCTCTCTTTTTTCTGTTCAAAAGTCTTTGTTTATACCTCAGTCAAAACTTTATTAGATTGGTATTCCCAACATTCATCTTAAAAACATCCTATAAATGTGATTAAATTTCCTAACTAGATATGGTGGCTCCAGTCCAACAACTGGTTGAATTAAGGTAAAATCCTTCCAGAGTTGTACACAAAGCCACTCCCATCCCTGCCAGGAAGCGTAACCCAGTGAGCTATATCGCATCGTGAACGTGTTTCTCTGTGAAAGGAGGTGGTCTGTGTATAGGAGCAGTCAGCATCCAAAGAATGTAAAGCAGACTAGAGGGAGATGACTGGAGAAAAGAAGCAGAAAGAGGGCAGAGGGGCAACAAGGGCTGATTTGAGAAACATGTAAGTTAGCCTAGAGCATGTATGTATATTACATTTATACCGTTCTTCCAATAGCTATTTCAACAGAGTGATGTGGTTCTTTTATGTCTTAGTTCAATGTTCTTATCTTTTTTTTTTTTTTAAGAGAGAGAGCAGGCACGCACACGTGCAAGCAGGAGGTGGTAGGGAGGGGAAGGGGCAGAGGCAGAGGGAGAGAATCTTAAGCAGGCTCCATGCCCAGCACAGAGCCTGATGTGGGGCTCGATCTCACAACCCTGAGCTCATGACCTGAGCTGAAATCGAGAGTTAGATGCTTAACCGAATGAGCCACCCAGGTGCCCCTTCCTTATCTTTTTAAATTATGCTTTTTTTCTAGCTATAAAAATACAAGATGATAGAAAAACTGGAAAATACAGAAAGATATAAAAAAGAAAAGACACTCATATTTCTACCACTCAAAGACAATGTCCTCTTCTTGTTTAAAACTCTGTTTTAACAAAGAGAATACACATTTCTGGATATACAGCTTCCTATCTCCTGGTTCCAGGCTACTCCAGCCTTGTAACCTCTGAGCTCTAAGCTCAGGCCTGACCTCTGGTGTCCATATATTTCCATACAGCCACTGTTTTTGCAAAAAGCACTTCTAGCAGGAGTGGTGGGCAGAGGAAAGGTCCTATTAGCTTTGGTTTTACATGGAGGTGCACAGAAGAGCTGCTTGCAGAAGCATGCCAATATTACTGCCTTAGAGGCAAGCATTAGAGACAGCAACTCCTTGCCTCAGGTTATATCAAACCATGGTAGATCCTTCCACCCAGGCAGACAGGAGAGGCATTTAGCTTGTGCTTGTAATAAACAGGTAGTTAAAGGGGTTAGACTATATTTCCCTCACTGCATCCTTCCAGAAGAGTGTCATGGCTAAAAACTTGGGTTTGGGGGGCTGACTGCTTATATTTGAACCTTGTATCTACCACTTTCTACTTGTTTCATCTTGAGCAAGTTATTTAAGCTCTCAGTGTACCAGTGTCTGCATTAGTAAACAGGTAAAATTACGATTCTGTCTCCCTCATAGGGTTGTTGTAATGACCAAATAAATGTAACTACATGTAAAGAACTTAGACCAGGGCCTGGCATATAAGTACTCAATAAATAATAGTAATTATTACAATTCTGCCTCCAGAAAGGTTATGTAACACACACACACACACACACACACACACACACACACACACACACACACTCCAGCAATATATGAACATCTGCTTCATTGCACTAATCACCACTTATGTGAAAGGCAAAAAAAAAAAAGGCATCTTGTCTAGGTTGGCTTTTCTTTGAAAACCACAGAGGCTGGACATGAGCAGAGATCTTCAGAATAAGACAGTGATTTACACAACAGCCGATCATGTTGCCTTCAAAAGGAAATTCTGTATCATACATTTACCTGATAACTTCCATTTAAATCCCCCCCAACAGGTGACAATCCCCAAAATAAACTTCTAACACTCTAATCTTTGTCATGATGGTGGTGTAACTGATTATGTACGTGTTGTTACACATTCTATCCTCTGTTTTATGCTCCCATGCTGGCTCACTGAGGCATGTCATCCTGATCCACAGTTCTGTAACTCCCTATTTTTGATTCAATAAATTCTACCTTTTTCCTGGTATGCTGGGTTCTTTACTTCTACCCTCAAATTCCTTGGTACAGGCCCAACAATGTTCTCTAAGATTAAAGAGAAAGGAAGTTTGCTAACACTTCTGAACATGTACTATATGCCAGGTACTATGCTAAAAATGTTATGCTACCTAATTTCATATTCTCACGGAGGTGAAGTGACTTACTTACCCAAACTCACCAAACCATTAAGAACCAGATCCAGATTCTCAACCCACAAGTGTCTCATTTAAATGGCTTCATCTTCCACTATATCACACTGCCTGTAGGATAAACTCACAGTCCTAAACTCTTCACATTAATGAGCCAAACCACACATGTGTTCAACCAGAATGAAGAGGTCTAGAGAATGATGGAATTAGTACCCGTGATTTCCTATTCATTAAAGTTCATTAAAGTTGCGTATGTGAAAAGCACCATCTTACCCTTGTCCCTTCCACTCGCTCTATCGACATCACCCCTAATACTTTTTATATTCTTATTTACTACTCACGGTATTGGCCTGGTGATGGCTGAGGTCTCAAAATTCTCTTGGGATGTCTTTTCCTTCCAATAAGCATTGAGCTTCTGGGCAAGGGCATTTATTGTCAACCTGAAAGAAAAAGCAGGAAGAAGCACATCAATGCTGAGGATCTGTCAAACAATTTCATGATCTTTGAGATGCTCCCCTTTAAGAGAAGCTGACAATGTAGACTATTCAGTCTAAGTTTGAACAACTACACTTCCAGAAACTAGGATGGGAATCCACGGCCTTTGCAAATTACATGTATAAAATGACAGTCATCATGTCGAGTGGTCACGTTGGTTGCAATAAAAGTCTGTTCTCATGTATTCAGGTAAAATTTACAAAGAGTAAAATTAATCTTTGTTAAGTGTGTAGTTCTAACAGTTTCGACAAACGTATACAGTCACGTAACCACCATCTCAACCAAGATACTGTTACCAGTATTCTAAAATCCCATTTCTTCTCAAAAAACCCTGGCTTGACTCTACGGTTCTATTCATCTCCAACCTTTTACTTCCCCAATCCTGGTATATGTGGCCTACACCCACTACCCCCTGTTCATTCTCCTTTCTTAACCCACTATGGTCTAGTTTCCACCATCGCCACTCCATAAGACTGTTCCTTTCCCCAAAGTAGAGTCATTACTCTATCAATGATCCTGCCAATGTCCCAGTGTACTCAATCCGAGTCCTTGCAATGATCTTGGACTCTTCCCTCTCCTTTATATGTCTTATATAGTACGTCACCAAAATCACTTGAACTTTTCTTCACATCCGTCTTATACTTTTCTTTACAGCTACTCTTATTTCAGACATTCATCTCAGACCTATGTTACAAGAGCCTTTAATCCTTCCTTTAATCCATCCTGGGCCCTGTTTCCTGATTGATCAGCTGACCTAATTCATGTAAAGCACCTTAAAAACCATAAAGCAGTATATAGTTATAACATAGTATATCCTTAAGATAGAAGGGTTTCAAGTCACTCCGCCATTCAAGAATACACAATGGAGTCTCACTGTCTAAGGTATCAACTACTCTACCCAACAATCCTGTAAGACAGAAGTTCTCAAACCTTCTCAGTTTGTGGCACCCTTTGTGTCTCAAGTTTTTCACAGCACCCTCAGGTCAAAAGCAATATGTACCAGTTCCAGTTACTAAACAGTTAGGTCCAAATAATTTAATAGCTATTTGAGAAAATAATACATATAAATTGAAAAGGACATTTTTATTTCATTCTTAAACAGCCACAATTACTACTGGGATGGATATGTGTGCATACCTGTTGGGCAGTGTACCACTGCTCAAACCTTGGAATGAAACTGGACACGGTTTCCCTCACTTCTTCTTCAATGTTGACTTTCCTGTATTACTTTTTATCACAACAACCACTAAACACCCAGACTTGCAAAGATATGATGTAATCAAAAGAAATGCAACAGATTTTGTTATCTGGCAGTGGGGTGCTGCTGTAACAAAGACCCACAAATGTGGAAGCAGCTTTAGATCTGAGCGGTAGGCAGAGGCTGGAAGAATTTGAGGACCCAGACCGAAATGGCTGAGACTGTAACCTAGATTCTAGATTGAGCAGATGGTTAGTAGAAATATGGATGTTAAAAAGCCTCCTGGTGAGGGCTCAGAAGGAAGCGAGGGGCATAGTGGAGAAAATGCAAATTTCCTCAGAATACCTTCATCAGTGGGAACCGACTGTTAGCAGAATCACGGATGATGGGATAGGTGCTGCTGCTGAAGGCCCAGGAGGAAATGAGGAACATGCTACTGGGAAATTTGAGGGAACGTGATCCTTGTTACATCACGGCAGAGAACTCAGCAGAACTGTGTCCTACAGTTCTGTGGAAAGCAGAACTTGTAAATGATGACACTGGACATTTAGCTGAGGAGATTTCCAAGCAAAGTGTTGAAAGTGTGGCCTAGTGTCTTCTTGCTGCTCACATAAAAAGGTGGGGAGGAAACAAATATATTGAGAGAGAACTATTGGACAAAAAGGAATCAGGACTTCATGATTTTGGAAATCCTCAGCCTAACCAGACTGAAGAAGATGCTAAAATTGAGACATTCACTGTCAGCAAAGCCTGCTCTACAGAAAAAGCCAAGGTTGTGTCTAGAAAACCTTTTGCTAATATCTCAGATCAAAAGGTCAGTGTATTCAGTCACACAAAAAGCTCTTTGAAAAGCTTAAACATGTGACTCAGATCTTCACAGCAATCTCAGCAGAAGCCAAGAATAGAAATAGGATTATCTAGGAAAGACCTGTCAAGAGCTTCTTGTCTGAGTGAACGAATATCCATGACATACATGGGAGACCCACAAGGGTCTTGAGGTTGGCATACTGGCACACGCACTGCCTCACTGGACTGAAGGGATGGAGAGAGTATAACACTGAAAGAAGGCTGGTGGACCTCCAAAACTCTAGAGTCAGGAAACAGGCTGATGAGGCTCCTGAGCTGCAGAGACATGCTCCCTTTCCTGAAAAAGGTAAAAGGACTCTGAGGGTGCAGCCACGAGCCCAGAGGGTAGAGCATGAGGTCTGCAGGATAAAGCTGCAAGCCCTACATTTGTCGCAGGACTTGAAATTCAATGGAATTAGTTTGGCTGGACTTTGAAGTGGCTTGAGACCTGTGGCTCCGTTTTCCTTCCATTTTCCTCCCTGTCTGAACTGGAATATCCGTAACTGGTATCCTGTGCCTGTATCACCATTATATTTTAGAGTGAAATACAAAAACAAATAAATAAAGGACACAGCTGCAGAGGGAGAGGAATTTTGCCCCAGGATGCATCAGACCCACACCTGATTTAGATGATGAGATTTGGGGATTATGAGTTGCTGACATTAACAGGAGGGTTTAGACTTGAGTCGCTGTAACAGTTGAGAATTTGGGGATGTTGGGATGGGACAAATATATTCTGCAGGTGAGGTATAAGTGGATCTTTGGAGGCCAGGGAGCAGGCTGTGGTAGGTGGAATGATGGTCCTCCAAAGACACCTATGTCCTAGTCCCTGGAACCTGTGACTGTATCAGGTTACCTGGCAAAGGGGAATTAAGGTTACTTACTTACCAGTTGACCTTAAAAGAGGGAGATTATCCTGAATTATCCAATGTAATCACAAGGGGCCTTAAAAGGAGAAGAGTGAAGGGGAAGAGTCAGAAGCAGAGGAGCAGATGTGATGACAGACAGAAGCAAGTCATCGGAGTGATGTGATATGAGAAGGACTCCATCCACCACTGACGGCTCTGAAGATTCAGGAAGAGGGCCACATACAGGCCAAGGAATGCCAGCCCTCTCGAAGTTGGAAATGGCAAGGGAATGGATTCTCCCCTTGAGCCCCCAGAAAGGAATGTAGCCCTGTTAACACCTTAAGTTTAGCCTAGTGAGATTTGCATCGGACTTCTAAACTACAGAACTCGAAGACAATAAATGAGCATTGTCTTAAGCGGCGAAGTGAGTAGTGATTTGTTCCAGCAGGAAGAGAAAACAACTTCTAGGATTTATAGGCAGAAGTCAAGTATCATTGTAGTTCCCTCAAAAATTTCAAATATCCTATGAATCCTCTGTGAGTTCATTAGGTGCAGCTTGACACGTTGTTTGGGAACTGTGGCTCTAGGACAGGGCTCAGCATACAGCCTGTGGGCCAAATTCAGGCCATTGCCTGCTTTTGTAAAACAAAAACAAAAACACTGTACTGGACACAGTTCATTCCTTTACTTCTTGTCTAGGGCTGCTTTTATAGGAGAGCAGAACTGAGCAGTTGTGACAGAGACCATATGGCCCGCAAACCCTAAAATACTTATTTCCTGGCCCTTCACAGGAAAAGGATGTCAACTCCTGCTCTAGGAAGACAGCTCTACTCTATCTAGTAGACTCTATTTTCCTTCACTCTAGCTGTCTCCTCTTAGCCCCACTCCCTGTACTCTCACCATTCTAAGTTCCTGTCATTACTTTAGATCATGCTATAGCCCCATCCTGGAATTCCCTTCCCTCCTGTTTCTAAGTCCTATATCCTTTCAGACAAATCTCAAGTCACACTTTCCACCTAAAACCTTCCCTATCTGCTCTATCAGGGCATTTTTTTCCCATACCATATTAGGTTTTGGCTGATGACACGGCCATTTTATTGCTCTCCAAATTGTTTCATGTATGTGACAATTCATTTTTTAAAATTTTTATTTTTTTAATTTTTCAGTGTTCCAGAATTTATTGTTTATGCACCACACCCAGTGCTTCATGCAATTCGTGCCCTTCACAATACCCACCACTAGGCTCACCCAACCTCCCACTCCCGACAATTCATCATTATAAATCGACTGTAAGCTCCTCAAAGACAGCAACCATGTCTTGAATTTCTCTGGAAAATTCCACAAAGCCCAGCCACTGTGCCATGCACCGGGGAGGTGCTCAGTGGTGTTATTTCTTAAGCTGAAATTCATTCTAAAAATGTTGTCAGTTTGAGCCCTGGTAGTTGCAACTGAAATCTGATATCCACAACTATTAAGAGTGATATTACAGATGATTTATTTGTAGACATTCCAGCACTGTGATGGCTGGTATCTCTTTTAGCATTTGCAGGTTTTTTATTTATAATTATTCTTTAATATTATCACAGAGCAGGTCTCTATTCAAATATCCTCAAATGTTATGCATTTGCAGTTTTGATATCTATAATACTCTTAGGATGAATTTCTGATAGCAGACAGCTTTCTCTAATCCCCTTCTCAAAGTCCCCTAATTTTTTTTTAACTAAACACCTTTACTTTTATATAAAATACAGTAAAAAAGAATCATGATGCCAGAACTGGAATAAAAGTAATGCAAATTTATTATCCTCAAAAGACTGTATATAGGATAGTATACTAGTTTCCAGTTTTTAATAAAATGTGTAGCAGATATTAAGCTACTTGAGGCAAAAATCCTAGATGTTTATAGCCAAATAAACCTACTGTCTATAGACTATCTCTATTAGAATCCCCTGTAACCACCTCAAGCTCATCATGCTGAAATGAAACATCACAAGCCAAGGTCTAATATCTCTAAAATTTTAAAATTAGATAGGGGTGTGTGACAGAGAGGATATAAGAAAATGTTAAGTGATGTTTAGTATCTAATATTTGGATGTCACAAATCTTAACTATTTGGTTAATCACTAGAAATTTACTGTTCCTTTCACTCAAGAGAAATAGAATGACTTAGCTCTGAGACTTGTCAAACTGACATCATTTCTAAACTTTCACCCTCAAGAGTCAAGTTCTATTCAAAGATCTCTGTTCTGGACCAGACTCACATTCAAAAGGCCATTTTACTCAAATGGAGGGCAGGTAGTTACCATACCCACTGAGTAGCCCTAGTGTTCATGAACCAATTGCCCTGAAATTAATTTAGGGTTGCCATCCAAACAGCTGTCTCTTTTTCAAGCACTAAACCTAAAACTCCTATGGTTTCTGACAAATTGAGGCAGAAGAGTTAACTAATTTTGTTACATTTTTTTTGTGTATGTGCCAAAAGAGATTTGGGAAAATACTTTCCCCCCACTCTAAAATTTGCTACTGAGGCTTCAAGGAGAGCAGTACCAAATGTCCTCATACCTTCTCTCTCCTTATTCCCAGAACACCACTTGCCCCTTTGTGCCTATTCTTCCTGGTGCTTAGAATGTCCTTGCCCTATTTGTCCACCTAGCCAACTCCAATTTCTCCCTCAAGTTTAAGCTCAAATAGGACCTGCTTTGTGAAGCCTTGAGTGACTCCTTTAGGTGTATTTAAAGGCTCTTCCCATTTTGCATGTATCCTCCATTGAAGCAATTATTTTATAGGTTTGTGAGTTTCTTATTTGCATATATCTCATCCCATTTGTTCACAGACATCAAGGATTCTTACCTTTCATTCTTCTGTCCCTAGTACCTAGCACATAGGATATCTCATACTTGATGAAAAAGGAATGGATGACACATCCCTCCTGAAAAGTTTTACAACAAACTATTTTATCCTGGCTTTATTGATTCCTTTTTTTGTCTTCTAAAAATATCCTTGCTGCTTCAGCCTCAACAACAAGTTCCTTTTTGATTCTTTTCTTGTCTCACCTATGAAATCTAGATGCGTCTATGAAAACACATGTCTTTCCCGTTGCTTTCCTCTCAATCTGTTCACTGGCTTCAAGAAACTCATTTGGAACAAATTTCAAACTGTGGCTTTCATCCCTCCCAACATATTCGATACCTGCAGATCCTTTCATCCCTTTTCATTAAGATCAATCCCAACTCTTTGTTTCACTACAAGTATTTTAGAAAACGACTTCCATATTCTCTCCATACTTTTTAAAGGTAAGGTTTATCTCTAGTGGGCTCTCTCTATCAGGTATCAGTAAGTTTTAATTGAAAAGTCAAATCATTTTATCTCCAATCTTGGAAGAGAGATTTGAAGGAGTTCTCAGTTAACTCATCTTGCTGGCTTTTAGAGATAATTTTAGAGGTTTCAGAGAATAGAAGAGAATTGTATCTGGAGAAACTATCAGAAACATGTCAGGCTGGGAGTGACTCACCGGTACTCTTTGGTGTACTCAAAGTCTTGTTTGTTGTAGGCGGGTTTTAAGAAATTGCACTCGATGACTCCAATTACTCCCACACCTTCTCCATGAGTTGGCTTCGAAAAAAATAATGTAATTTCAACACTTATATTACTGTTGATGGTCTGGAGACATTTCCTTTTGATTTTAGGCAGTAATAGAAAGGTTACGTAACATTCAAAGGCAAGGAAAGTACAGCAACATCCAGAGAAATACTCAGAATGTACTTCAACAGACTGCAAGTATTAAACTGAACTGGCACCTTCGACCAATTCTAAGGCAAAGATTTTCAAACTATGATCCATAGAATCTCTAGGATTTTCCAGGGATTAATTGCCTTCTCTACTTAATACACACTACTTCTACCTTCATCCATTTTATATTATGGGATGGCCATAAGATTTCCTTTGAACAAAGAATGACAATGCTAAAAAACAGAACAAAACAAAACAAAACAAAATCAAGGCTATGTACTACTGTTCTAGGGAATGGAAACCAAACTTCATGTGAAAAATGATTTTAAGGATGCTGCGGAAACATGACATTCTATTAAAAGAAGTAATTTTTATATACATAGGCTACCAGTTACTAAAGGGACTCTGACTTGCAGTGGTTTTTAATGGGAAGCGGATACAAGAGATTTTTGGATTTACAAAGTCATTAATTAGACTGGCATACAAATATGAGTTGCACATATAAAGATGATAGAACAAGGAAAAGCAGCATAGGCTGTAAACTAGCTGTCCTGAGTCTTCTATAACTTTGTCCTACTGTGTAATACAAAGTGTTTTATCATTCTTCGTGCTTTAGAAATCTTACCTGTAAAACAGGAATGAATAGGATACTTGTGGATATTACTACTTTAAATTGCCATTAAAACATTAAAGATGATGATATTTATACAGTTCAGTTTATAAAGTATTTTCACATACTTTATCCCATTTAAGTCTCTCAACCCTGTAAGCTGTAGTATAGGCAAAGCAGGAACAATTATTACTGTTGTTTCTATTTTACAGGGAAGGAAAGGGATCCTCAGAGAAATTAAACAATGAAGTGAAGGTTACACAGCTTCTACATGGAAAAGTCAGAACTCGAATCCTGGTCATTAACAACTAAATTTTATGCTTCTTCTCCTATGCTTTACAGTCTCCCAATACTGAGAAAGAGCTACCTTAAACACTAATAAACTGATACACACTGCAAAGTTGCTGGTGTTCTAATACTATCTCTTCTCTACGGCTACCTAGAAAATGCACTGAGTAAAGCTCCTGGATTGATCAACATCTGTGAAGAATGAGAAGTAGAAACAGCTTTTCAACAAAACACAGCTCACTGGTAACACAGAGTTCCAGGATCAGATTTAACAACTATCAGTAAGATGGGAGTAAAAGCCATTCATGAGTCTATTCCCTTTGCAAATTTTAAATCCTCTTCCTCCTCTTTTCAGCCTTTTATGGCAAAGAAACATTAACTACTCACCTTCACCTGGCATCCCACCTTCTCAAAAGACTTTATGAGTCGGTTGTTATGATACATCATCATTCCAAACTGGTTATTATTCTTGCAAGAGAACCCAAAAGTTATTTTCACCTGCTTATTCTGAGAAGAAAATCATTAAGGAGACAAATGCCAGGGGATTTAGCAGACAACATTCTGTACTATGCTATAGCAAAAAATATCCAATACCATGGGACAGAAATCGGTATGACCTTTCTAGGGGACATTAAAAAATATGTAGCAGTAGTTTTAAAAATATTCTTAATCTGTGACCAAGTAATTCTCTTTCCAGGAATTTATCCTAGAGAAACAGTCAGGAAAGCCCATAAAGGTTAATGAGTTAGAGATTTATCAATTAGTTATGACAGAAAAACAAATAATTCAAATGTCTGGCAATGAGGGAATGACTAAAAAAATGTTGGTATAGTCAGATGGTCTATTATGTACCTCTTAAAATTGTGTCCTTGAAAAATATTTGGGACCCTTAGGAAATGTTCAGAAAATAACAATGAGCATTATCTAAAAATATATATATATATATAAATACATGCATAGAAAAGAGTGTAGGAAAATACATCAAAATACCATCAGTGGTTTGAAATTCATTAATAATCACAAAACATTCCTTAACCTTTGCTAAGTTGCTCAGTTTGCTGTTGCATAAGACAAGAGTCATAACTAGTACAACACAAATCCACACAATTCCAGTTGACGCTTGAACAGCATGGGTTTGAACTGCACAGATCTACCTGCGCATGGATATTTTTCAATAAATACATCAGAAAAGTTTTTAGAGATTTGTGACAACTTTTAAAGACTCACAAACTGTGTAGCCCAGAAGTACCAAATAAAATAATAAAAAGTTATTATTCTAAGAATGTAGTATTTAGTATCATACAAAATGTATGTCAACTGTCTATGGTATCAGTTAAGGCCTCCAACCACTGGTAGGCTATCAGTACTTAAGCTTTTGGGGAGTCAAAAGTTATACCAGATTTCGACTGTGTAGGGGGTAGGTGCCCTAACCACCCCTGCCCCCAACCACCCCTGCCCCCGCACTGTTCAAGAATCAAATGTATAAGCAATAAGGTAAGCCCTGCTAATCATACAAAACACAATGAAAGCAAAAGCACCAAGAACAAAAATCAGTTTTAGAGTTAAAAGGACAATGAATCGTCCTGTTGCAATATGTCTCATGAGAAGAAGTGAACAAGCTTGGATAGGTGAAATAGAACGAATTATGATATGTAAAAAATGAATATGATGTGTTTTTAGCAAGTCCTATTTGATTTAAAAAGCAAGGTAAGAGAGGGAGAAAGACAAAGGGGGAGACAGAGAAACTGAAATTTTCATTAAAACAAATATAAAGAAATCTTCACATCCAAATGAGTTAAAAATTATTTGTTACTGACTCAAAAAATGATCTCCATTGTCCCCTCTACATAATAAGCTACTTGCATCAAATCCATGTAACAAATGTGTCAGGTATGATACAAAGGCATCATAAAAGTGGGTACATAACACAGTAATGTTTGGCTCAGAAAATATGTTCTGGGCTCCAGAAGTTCCAATCAAACCTCAGATAAGACCCTATTCCAATGAAAAAGCAGGACAAACTCCCCAAAACAGACAAACCAAAACTCTATACCATAAAATCAACATTTTTAGAGATATGACAAATTCTGCTGTTGCAGGCTTTTAAAATCCTAAATCATGGTGGGAGTACATTGGGACAGGAGGTTCCCTACCCCAAATTAGTATAAGGAAAAAGGACAAGAAGACAAAAGAGGACTTTGATAACTGAGGAATAAGTAAGTCAACATCAGTGATCTCATCCCTCAGTGACCTTGGGGGAAATTTTATCAGGAGTTTCATTTCACTCATGCCTATAGTGAATTCGTTTAACCCAAATTCTAGTAGGGGAAGTTAACTAGTCTAATAGGAAGGAGGGTTGAAGTACATATCAAATGCACTGCTGTTAAAAAAAAATGGGGTGCCTGGGGGGCTCAGTCCGTTAAGCCTCTGACTTGTGATTTTAGCCCAGCCATGAATCTCATGGGTTATGAGACTGAGCATGCTTGGGGATTCCTGCTCAGCAGGGAGTCTGCTTGAGATTCTCTCTCTCTCCTTCTCTCCCCCACCCTCCATGTGTGTGTGTCTCTCTCTCAAATAAATACATCTTTAAAAAATAAAGAAGAAAACAAAAACAACCCCAAATTGGAATCATCTGGCGCCCCCCACCCCCAGCCCAAGACAAACCAAGACTTAGTTATGGTTCCAACCAATCCCAGGAGTATGACCTTTCAATAGTCAATAGGAAATTTCCTGATCAGCACTATGTACATGATAAAAACCCTGATGTTCCTTCTCCCACAAAAAGAAGCCAGCCTGGCCTAAAAGAATCCTTTCTTTTCTTTTGCTACCAACTTTTTGCCCCACCCTATAAATACCTTTCATTTTGTACAGCTTCTGGGAACATCTCTTAATTGCTAGATGGGATACTACCCTAATCACAAATCACTTAATAAAGCCAATTAGATCTTCAAATTTACTGAGGAGAATTTTGTTTTTGAACAATAGGAGTTGCTCTGATAGAAACCCACAAAAGAAAGAAGCTGGAGGCAGAAATGTGGTATCCCCTGAAACAGCAGTTAGAAAGCACTTCTTTAAAACTGGCTCTGTGAAACCTAGGACACTCAGATCCTAGTCTACATACAGAGATATTACAACTAATTTACCTACACATGTAACAAAGCTAGCTCTGGATTTGTTAACATGTACTTCTGTAGTAGAGAATTTATGTGTTCCCAAAACAGGAGAAAATCAATTGACCTAGGAGTAAGGACTTAGACAGCTTTTTAAAAAGGGAACAACAATTTCTAATTTTTGGTCCGGGAAGAAGGACAAAGCAAACTAGATAATGCCTTAGATAAAGCAAATCGAGTGTGAACATGTTTCTTGGGCCAGGAGCTGTGCTTAATTACTAGAAAATAAAGTATAAAAGCAGCTCTTCACAATCACTTAGGAGTTCCCACCCTTTCAAAGACTTTATTTTGCCCCAAAAGCCATCAACAGAGAGGGACCTCACTTCCATAGTACAACTTAAGATTTTTCTCAAGCGTCTGAAATCCATTCTCACTGCAATGGGGGTAGAAGTGAAAATCAGTAATTACTCCTTTGAGTGGCTGCCATTATGACAAGTACCAGGAAATCCATGTCAAACCTGCTGAAGGTTTACCTCACCTTAGAAAATCAACCTTTGATTTCCACTCTCCTAACTTCCATCAATGTAAGTCTGGACTTGTTACAACAACAATCATACCATGCCCAAAAGATTAACAAGTTCTAGTCCATATTTGCTTATTTCAATCAATGTAATATGTAACAAAATTCCAGTACAAACCAAACAGCATGGATCATTCCTTATTGCAGAGGTTCTCAAACCTGGCTACTCATTAGAATTAGATGACAATTTAAAAATAAATATTTCCTATTAAAAAAAGAGATTTCAGAATCTACTGAAACAGAAGCTCCAAAATTTCAGGATGCTGTATGATTTTTAACAATTTCCAAGTGATTTCTGATGAAACTGATACATCGACTGGCTTTGAGAAATATTTTCAACAACAACAAAAAAGAAATACCTTCTCAAAGAATATACTGTAGGGACGCTGGGTGGCTTAGTCAGTTAAGCATCCAGCTCTTGATTTCGCTTCAGGTCATGATCTCAGGATCGTGAGATGGAGCCCCATGTTGGGTTCCATGTGGAGCCTGCTTAAGGTTCTCTCTTTCCCTCTCCCTCTGCCCCTCCTCCCTGTTCTCTCTCTCTCTCTAAAAAAAAAAAAATAGAACATACTGTAATAGGGTTTGTATTATAACACACATTTTTCAATTGGAAAAAGAAAGTTTTTTGTTTCCCTATGCCAACTTAGAAATCTAATCCTGGAATGAAGAGGTCAGCTTCATGTAGTTGTAAGGATACTGTGAAGGTAGGTTTATATAAATCATATCCTACATTGGCCAGGCTCTTGGCAATCATCTGGGTGGTCACCTTCTTTTGACGTAGAAAAATTTTCATTCGTGGCTTCATATACAGAATGCCACAAAATGCCTATGGAACAGTGAAGGGAAAATTATTATATGACATTGTCAGTTCTATTGACATCCTCATAAAACACTACTAGTGACTGAGATCTATTCCAGGCAAAGATCTGGCTTAGTTTCTATACCTTGTTATGTCAACTACTGCATGAAAGTGCTAGTGACTACATGAGCTCTAGCAGAGACAGTGAAAAGGAATCCTATCACAGGGCTAAAAGTTTGTCATCTTTATCTAACTAAAGTGAGACCTTGTTCTACAATATTTTCATGGTACAAGACATCTTACCTCTCATTGTTGAAGAAAAATCACTCTTACTCACCCGTAAAGAATACTCTGTTTCTGGCAGCTCACAGGTAACACCACCAGTCTCTTTTTCTTCTGTGCCAAAGTCTGATACCAGGATGTCATATTGATCTGTATCAAAGTCCAACTCAGACTTTCCATCTTTATTTCTGGGTAAAAGAGACAAGTACCAATCTAACAAATACTGGCTCCAAAGGACAAAAATGCACTAGGAACCCAAGAGAAAAGAAACAATATGAGCCAAAACTCAGACACCTACTTCTTTCCCTATCAGTGCAAAGGAACTATAAATTACTTGGTTTGAAGATCACACAATAGTTAGAGGTATTCCCAGTCTAAACAAATTGACTATGTTTCATAGAAGTAGTGATGCCAGTTACAGAAGAAAAGGAGAAAAAAAGGGGAAGGTGGAAATATCTGATCTGATAAATGGATGTCAGCTACCCTCACGGTGCGATCTTAAAATAGATCCCAACTTTTGGGGTATTGCTGGGTAGGTCATTCAGCAGCATCTTCACCAACTGAATAAATAGAGGAATGAATCAAAACCTCTTCTGATTTCAGCAATGGTATAAGGACTAATGAAATATCAAGATTCCCCAGATCTAATCCTATTTCTTTGAGGGGAAAAAAAGGTTGCTATAGAAATAGCATATATCTGCTAGTCCTCTGGAATATCATTTATGGAATTATCATTTAACTATAAAAGTACTCATAATCCTTTCATAAGGGTCTTTCTTCTTCTCATAATCTTTTTGGGCCACTTAGCTTTGATCCACTCCAAGACTCTGCATTAGATCACTAACAACTGCCAGAGTAAGAAGGCAAGACCCATCTTTGTTCCTGGGAAAAACGCAAAACAAATGATGGGCTATAGAGAAAACATATATATCAGTTACCCAAGTTTGTTCCATGGAATCATAGTTCTCCCAAATACTCTTAAATAAGAAACAAGTAATAAGGGTTGTATGACTGAATAAAATTGAGAAACAATTCCTGGCCCTCAGGGCCACCTCAAGCTCTACCGATATCCCCCCCTGCCCCCGACACACACACACACTCCAGACTCCAAAGGCTCAGAGCTGTGGTGTTGAAAATGTAGCTCCTTCTTCAGGGCTGGACCAAAGCCGTTATGGTCTATATGAAGCCCACCTCACTATAATAGTATATTCTGAAATTTCCAGGATATTCTTGATTCTTGCTACCTCACTCCACTCTCACATACTCTGAGGAGGTTTCCTGTGCTCACCATTCCTCACCATTCACCATTCAAGGGAAAGGGGTATGGAGAAACTATTTTTTTTTAAACTGGGAAATACCACATTCTATATTGCTCTCTTAAACATTCAATGCAGATTGAAATAACATTAGTATATGAAAGCCTCTGAGAAGTCCTGCAATAAAGTAACATGGTAAATTTTGTTTAAGCCAGTTTCCTCTGTTATTTGACCATGAAAACTTTTATTCACATAACACCTAATACCATATAACTTAAAAACAACGTACAAAGAAAAAATTCTGCCTAATATGTCTGAGTCACTGGAAACACCACAGGAAAATGATCCTTTATAATATAAATTACATTACTTGAGATTTTTCCCAGTAGGACACAGAAGGATCTAAATTACCAATGTGTAAAACAAAAAACAAACAAAAAAACCTCCTTATGTTCTTCTTTTTAACTCAAAGTACTTTGTATAAACCAGCAAAGTTTTTATATCATTTTACCCAGCTAAGAAATGAGGGAAAATACTTCACCTAAGGAGAAAAAGAATGAATATATCTGATACCCTGTTCTACTAAAGATACTGTTATTTCCTCTTTTATATAAAAGGTCTCTAGATTTTTGTGGACACTGTTAAATGTATTCCACTTGACAGAAGATTAAACACATGATGACATATCCTAGAGTATTTCTAGATGGTTTTATTAGTTCTAAACGTATGATGTGAAGCCAGCCTCATTATAGTTCAAATTTATGTGCTTCAAAGATTTTCACACTTCTAATCTAGCTACTCTGAAAGCACAACTAAGAAGTCCTTATTTTAAAGATCATGTTGTGCTTTGTTACTCTAATTTGTCTTTCTCATACTTCATCTCCATTGTCAAATACGTAAAATAACTATCATTATCTTATCTCCATGAATATAAGATATTCATAATGGATTCTGAAGATCTTAGAATAATGTCAAACTGTCTTGATTATTTGTGGCAACAGCCTCATGATATGCATGTCTCTATTTCTTCAAGCTCCACATTTTACCAGTAAGAACCACTTTCTCAAACGGGAGCTGTGGTTCCAAGAAGTTAAGGAAAGCTATGAAATGAGACACAAATACGTATCAAATTTATCCACTCTGCTTTTCTTAAGAGATTTCTGAAAATGTCCTTCATCGTACTACTTTTGCTTACTTGAATCTATCATCCTTGAGATACTATACCTGCGGATGTTCCAAATAAGAACACGAGTGCCTTTTTTGCCTGGGATGGCATCAAACTGGGAAAGCAGGTCATTTTCACTGTTGAAAATTGAATAGTTCAAGATGGCTTCTAGGCTGGGCAAGGAATCCTCAGTAATAATCATTTTTTGTAAAACCAAATACAGTCAAAGAAAATTTAATATCTTAAAAGGATGCTATCAATTAGTAAGATCTGCCTTTTGGGTTGCATGTTTAGACAAAATATAGACACACAGTCAGAAGTACGGGCAGTACGGGGGAAAATGGAGAAAGGTTGCAGGGACAAAACACCAAAATCAGTTACCCCTGTAGACTACAGCTTCAAAGATACAGTGTAAACAAAGGCTATTTAAGAAACAGATCAAAGGCTGAATTTTTAGCCTCTTTGGAAGCAATGAGTTCAAACCTGGCTACTGTGCTGCTTCGGTCAAGACAACCTGTGGTCTAACAGAAACAACAGCTTGTCTTAGGTGTAGGGAAACAAGCCCTTCTTCCATCAGATAAGCTGGTGAATAGTATGTATCTCAAAACAATGGACATTTCAATACAATAAAAAACACATCTAAGCTTCTGTCAATGGTACATTTATTTTTAAAAGTATTTCATACGGTGAGACTCCAGGTAAATTTAAGACCCTTGAATAACTCTTTAAATATGAAAACTTTTGATATCTGGATTTGAGCTAAAGACAAGAGCTTTCTATCATAATAGTCATATCAGGCCCATTTTAACCAACATTCACCATTTCCAGAAAGGATATTGTTTTGCTGGTTGAATGGAACAATTGGTACAATAACTGCCTGGGCCTGGACACATTCCAGATAGGTCTGTGACAGGAGTCCAACAGTGAGAGTACCCCCATTCTTGGTGAAGACGAGAGCATCCTTTCCTAGCCGCATGGAGCCTGACTTGAAACCATTACCAAAGACCCCGATGGGACACTGGCTCTTCTTTATTACTTTATCTGTAAAGCCAAAGCTGTAATTAAACAAGAAAAAAAGAAATCAAAAAAAAAAAGAAACCAGAAAGATAAAAAGCATCCTAAGACAGGCTGACAGGCAGAATGGCTTATGAATAAAACACACTTATAAAAAGTCACTCCTTCTTTTTTCCTTTTGGTACCTCTGGGCAAAACTATTAAGTGAAAACCGTAGGAAATTACTATGATGTATTGCCCCGGGTTCTCCTATGTAGCTGGTGTGTGTACACACAGTCATACTTGACAAATGTCAAGATGGCCTCTTCTTGCTGTCTAACAGGGAGAACTGGAGGAGGCGGTGGGCAGCTGCCTTTCTTATCTAGATACAATGGTTCTGACTGCTAATAGTGAAGTTAGGGTAGGGTGAAAAGGGTGGTTAGCTCAGAGTGTGCCCAAGTGCGGGTCACAAAAGGAACCGACAGCAGTGCTGGTCAGAAGTATGAGATCTAGATCACCCTCTAGAAATCTGAAAAGCCAGAGGCTATATATCTTAACAAGTTCAACCCTCCACCAAAAGGATAACCCTTCCAATTCTTAACCTCTGCTCCATCTGCTGGGACAGTTCATTGGAATGTGGCCAAGGGATAAAAATAGGTAGGTCCACCACTGAGTATCAGCAGGCAGCTGCAGAATGAGGTCTCTCTTGTTTTATTAGGGACTTACACTGTGTCACCTCAACAATGTCTGCAGCCAGATCCTTTCCCTTGTTTAGAGACCCCATTCAAACACACAACAGAATAACAGAACCAAAAAAAAAAAAAATATGAACAATACGAAATCCAGAAAATGATGACTGACTTCCTCACGGTCTTCTCTCAACACAAATAAAACTAATTTTAAGGACTGCTTCTCTCCAGACAAAGTGTACAATGTCATACACTATCACTTGTTCAATAAATATTTACTGAGTCTCTACTACGTGCTGCGCATTGTACTCAGCACTGGAGACACAACTGTTAGTAACAACAGAAAAGATGTGATTCTTGCCTTCATGGTTTACAATCTAAGGGAGAATTTCATGTATTACAGATTAGATGCTTCTCCAATATCAATAAAACAGAAAGTCTATCTGGCACAGCTGAGTGGCTTGGCCTCGGTTCTTTGGAGAAGGTCTGAGATGCCTGGTTTCTACTTCCTGAAGGCTGTGGCTTGTGCTTACTCCCTAAGAAAAAAGGACCACCTTTAAATTTTCCATTAAAAGTGTTACACAATAAAACCATTATGTCCTTCTAGACACTTCCTAGGAGCTTTGTACATCCTAAATAAGTCTAACCACAGTAAAAGGTAATTTCTAGGGCAGCAGTTCCTTGGAAAATACCAAAAGATCATTGAGTTTCTGCCATCTATGGGCCTCAGTAACCCAGGAAATAAACTTATGGAAGCTGGTGAAATTCAGGCATTCTTAATCCTCTTGTGTAAGAAGTGCCTAAAAAAGATGGAGTCATTAGGGGTATTAAATTATATGCTATCTGAACAGCATATTTTAAATTATAAAGTACCATTTAAACCTTAATTTTAAACTAACTCTAGAAGTCATTCTGAGAACTATCCTGGGCTTTCCTTTCCCTCTAATTCAGATCAAATGCTGTATCTAAAACTCAGGGCTCCTCATAAACAGTAATCCCGTAAATACAGAAATCCAATGAAAACAAAATTAAGAAGGAAAAGCCTATCATTAAATTCCTTTAAAGTCCACAATGAATTTTCTTTAGCTTTTGGGGATAGTGTGAGGTAGCTAGTCTAAATGTCCAGCTGCCTCTCTCCACAAGAAATAAATCTATATGGTATGTGGACTTAAACCATCTCTAGTGCCACACAAGCTTCAATTTGGTGCTTAAGGGAAAGTGGTGAAAACAGGGAGAATCTATTCAATCCCCTTAAGTTCCCAGCCATTCCTGACTCTCCTGCCATCTAACCCCTCTTTTTCCCTTTATAAGAAGTATACATCCTCCTGGTGTTACTTAGTTTAGAGAGATGTGATGACTATATTAGGCTGAGAAGACAAGTAATAGCTCAGGGTCAGAACCAGAAATGAAAAAGGATAAGAAAAATAAGAAGGGAGGAGCTGGAAGCTCTGGATTTTGTTGTTGTTGTTGTTATGTTCCAGTTAACCTATCACATCCATGTGTTCTTTTATTCCATCTACAGTCCCGTGTTAGGTATTCCATTTAACTCAAAACTGTGGAACGGATGCCAGATCCCAGTCAAACAACTACTGAGTATAAAAGCCCTCACAATGAAGAACAGAATTGTATGGATGCATTTTATATAGTTTTGTGTAGCTCACTAATTTTCCAGAGATCTCTTGGCTTAGACAGGTGGCTTCCCTAAGTTAAATCCCGTTCTATCATTTTGTGTAAGAGACGGCAGTCTTTATACACCAGGGGGAGGAGGGCTGAATACCAACTCTCTGAGTGGAATGTGGGGAGACAGCAGCTTGCTCCCGAGGTCCTTAAAATGTCAAGATTCTAGAATCTAAGGAGATCGATTTAAATTGGGACTCTGACCAATGAAACACACCTCAGTGAACCCAAGGACACAGGAGGGCAGGCAGTGCTGCTTCCTAGATATACTGGTGATGTAATATGGAACATAAAACAGTGGAACACTGCTAAACACAGTTATTCTCTGGCTGTTGTTTTAGAAGAACAGACCTACTAGGAAATGCACTACTGAGCAGAGGTGGCAAATACCTTTAATCCAAGGATCTGTGGCTCTTTTTAATCCTAGACCTTTGAAAGAGGTTTTCTACCTTGTGGAAAAAGGCAGCTGGACATTTAGACTAGCTGCCTCACGCTATCCCCAAAAGCTAAAGAGAATTCATTGTGGACTTTGAAGGAATTTAATGACAGGCTTTTCCTTCTTAATTTGATTTTCATTGGGATTCTGTATTTATGGGAGAAACTTGCTGCAGTTAGAGAACTATTTTACTAGCCTGGAAATAGGAAGAGTAGCATGAAAGGTTGGAAAATGTGGATAGGGTTATTACAAATGTTTTTGGTGAAGTAGAATTTCAGTGGGCCTAGTCATTTTGCATAATTACCTCTATAATTATACAAAAGTAATACTTCCCTAACCAAATCCAGAAAAATGAACATACTTAATTTTCAAGGCTACCACTAAAGTTCAATTATTTATAATGAAATTATGGTAACTGGAATCCATGGTCAGGAGTTAGGATTGGACTAAATGAACTTTTAAATAAATGGGACCTTCTAGCTCATTCAAATTTGTTTTAAGATATGACCATAAATAAAATCTGGTATATATACTATACATTAATCCAGGACTCATTCAAAATTCTGTAAAATTAATTTTGCAGTATGAAGAACAATTGCCCAGCTCAAATTAGTGGGAAAGATACTTGGTATGATAATGCCAAAAAACGCTACAGCTAAGTAAGTGTCTGCCTGGTTTGGCTATTTTGTTCTTTGGGGAGGGAACAAAATTACAAACAGATAATACTCATCCTTTGTATTTCAATTCAAATGCCCCGTCTTCAGGGGATCTTTTTTTGACTCCCTAGACTAGGTTAGATCCCTCCACTATATACTCTCATAGAAACTGTCTTCCTTCATAGCACTTACCACTAAGTGAGATAACCTATTTAGTTGTATTACTAGTCAATTCTATTCTGCCCTTCTCACTAAACCATCAGCGCCTTGAGAGCAGGGATCTCTATTTGGTTTACCACTTTATCTCCAGTGACTGTCACACAGGTGCTCAGTAAAAATTTCTTGAATGAATCAGGAACAAAAACTGTTGTGATTATTTTGAAACCATCCTCATCCTTTCTCTTGCCTTGTAACTAAAAGCACCAACTTTCAAGGATGTAGTTCCACAGAACAAATTGAAGGCACTAAGATTGGCTGGGCCCACTATCAGACACCCATGTCACTGGGATAAAGTGTGGTGGGAAGGATTTACTAAAGAAATAAATGATTTTAGGGGAAAAATAAATATATACCTAATTAGACATACCAATATTTTGGTTCCATCTAAAATTTTATTTTTTAATATAAAACACCAACTCGAAGAGCTAAAAATAATGCTATAAATTAAAAGATAGGGCCAATTCCATACCTTCACCAACATACTGGCCACATCTCTATCTCACCTCTAGAAGATTTCCTCAAACATTCTTCTAATTATGAGGGTCTGAGACACAAGGTACACAGACTGCTGAATGGTAAAACATAACAATTTCATTGGTTAATGCCCAAATTTCATTTCTTTTCTTTGATGGATCAAATGGATTTCCCTATAAACAGGGTTATAGAATTAGACTACCTTGAAAAAGAACTACAACCAAATGAATGTTTGCCATTTTTATAGTTTGGAGCCCTCTCCCTCCTCCACAGAACCCCTCTTCCATTGTTACTCATACTTCACACACTAGTTCAGGAAGCCACAGGGAGAGTAATTAACCTCATCTGCTAAAAAAAGAAGAGAGAAGGACGTGAGGAAGCACTCATCTTTTACTGAGTGATATGTGAAGATAATCAAGTACAAACTTACATTCTCAACTACAAACGTTTTTAAAGTAATTAAATGAACTGAGAGTGGCAAAAGAAATCTCTATCACCAGCTTCAGCAGTTAGAAGAGAAAATTCCTGAATTTTGCCATCCTACTGCAAAACCTTTCAAAGATTATGTGTATGAATGTCTTCTATTTATCTTTCATGGGCCTTGATTATACCCAGGCATATTCATGGTCCTAACGCACAAATCATCCCGACTGCAATACTTCTGATCAAAGAATGAGTTCAGGTGAATAAAATTTGGAGGTGGTCTCAGGTCAGTGAAGGCCTTCAGGTCTTTACACTTGCTATTCTCTGCCTGAACTCTCAACCCCTTGCCCCTTGCTCCTTTACCTTGTTAAATTCTACTACTCACCCTCAGATATCTGTTTAAGTATCACCTCCTCTAAGAGGCTTTGACTGACTTCCTGGATCAGATTTGGTTCCCCTGCTGGTCTATCCCATTGCAACCTATGCTTTTCTAGTGTGCTTACCATTTTTTATTATGATTACTGCTCACTGTCAGACTTGCCAACTAAACTGTAAGTTCTATGAGGGCAAGAAGAGTGTCTACTGCAGCACCAGTGCCCTGACACATAATATATGCTCAATAAATACTTGCTGAATGAATAAACTGAAAGGGAAATATTAAAGAAAATTATGAAGCCCTAGGTAGAGTTTGTGAACTCAAGGCAAGAGAACAAGAACGAAGACATTTTTACCTGAGCATTCGGTGTAGTTTATGAGGTGTCATTCCACATCCGTCATCAGTAAAGGTCAAACAAGATTTATTCTTGACCTCCTCAACATCTATAAAGACCGTCCTGGCAGATACATCTGGATCTACAGCATTATCTGCAAAAGGTAGAAATCTGTGCTATTAGATCCCCTTTTCTCATATTTCAGTAAAATCTCTAGTTCAGTGCCGCAAGACAAAGAAACTGGCCTTTATTCCCTTCAGGTGGATGTCCCCAAAGGTGGGTGGGGTGCTTTGATGGTAGTGCACTTACTGGGTTATTAGGAACAATAGGTAATGATGGCAGATGGAGTTATAAAGCTGATTTCTAGATTTTATATAATGACTGAGCTGCAACCTGCCTTTCTCCCTTCACATTTCAGGGTCTATGGGAAAAATAACTCCTCTACACAAAGCATTTTGCTCCATTTTCATCTTATTACTTCTTTCTGGTCTTTCAGCCACTTCACTGCTCATAAACACATACAGGAGAGGGGGGCTATGGAGAAGAGTTAAATCTGCAATTTTGGTGCACACTGCACACATCACAGTGTATCTGTAAACATTTTCTTTTCTTTTTTTCTTTTTTTTTTTTTACATCACCTCCTCTGTTAAAGAACACAGACATTATCACCATACCTGTTTGTGGCCTAAGAGGCACTGAGTTAGCAGTTCAAACCGAAACATTTCATTGGTGGTGGTGGGGGGGTCCCAGTGAATGCTAATAAGCATACTTACAGAGAGGGCGGGATTCTACCTAAGTACACTGTCATAGTCTTAAAGGTGACACTGTCCCCCCTCATTAAATAGAGAAGGTGGAATCAAAGCAGAAAAAGAAAAAAACCTGTAGGTAAAGTTACATGATTCTTCCTGAGTTCCGTCTTCATAACGGGCTTCATCACTCTGAAGTCACCAATAGAACCGCATTCTAACATCCGGGCAAAGCTCACAACTGTCCGGGGGTGCCAATGTCTAGTAGCCATATCTTTGTGCTCCAGACTTGAGGTCACACAAGTGTCAGTCACGGACACACAGACTGCAACAGCCTCATCAGGACCTGCTGGCCCGAGTGAGAGGGCAGTTTGAACCACATGTCAGATGGGTTCCCTGAGCACTCCTGTCCCTACTAGCTCCTTAATCAAGACAGAGACCTTCCCTTCCACCCCCTTTCCCTTCCCCTGATATCCGAGACTACCTTACTGATACCACATGGCTGGGCTGAGAGAGCACGAGGTGGGGTCCTGGCTGTGTACTTGTCCCGCTGCCACTGTTCAAATCATGGCATTTCTCCACTGGGAACACCCCTTACAAGCAAGAGAAATATTACTCACATTCAAAATATAATCTGCAGTTTCAGTTACAACTACTTGGATGTGTGGAATGTCCAGCAATGAAAATAAGACATGGATTGATTTCAAGGGCCATAGTGGTATTGCCCGTGTCCATTGATAAAATCCTCACCGACTATAAGCCAAACAAGTCTTAACAGCAGTAAACCATTACCAAGAGCCCCAAAAGGGAATTAAGAGGTCTGAGAGGGTCGATCTTTAAGAACTAGGTGGGGCCAAAGTCCTGTGTCATGTGGTAAATCAAGTGGGCCAACTTTTTTGGCAGGAATTATAAGTTTGACATGCAATAGAGGCTTTATCACAAATACAGTCTTTTACTTTGTGTGAGAGGCAGTTTTTTTTTTTTTTCCTCAAACTGACAGAAGGATTCAGGACTGTGAAGCTGCCTACATTGTTTCAAGAAACCACTTGGCAAACAGGCCCTAAATTGTTTAAGGACTTATCAGTCACTCCTGCGGGCAGAAAGCTAGGGCCATTGAGACTATTACCTTTACCTTGTCAATGGCCAGGGCGTCATTTCTGTTTTGAAAACTTTGAACACAGGAGAAAGTCCTTCTAACATTTTATGGACATTCACAACTCAAGCACATCACACATGTCCATCCCAATTCTAAGTGTATGTAACAGTGCAGTTAATGAATCAGCGCGCACCTCTCACAAAATCACTTTTCATTCTTTCCTGTTTACTGCAGATTTTGCCCAAATGTTATTAGACGCTTTTTTTTTTTTTTACACGGAAACATACCAGAGAGTTTTAACACAGGCACTCCAGGAGTTACAAGGTAGCTGCAAAGAAGCAGCTAGGCATTTTATCTCCTGGGCTAGAGGCTGCTGGAGTGGGGGAGGGGAGCACCCCAGCCGCCAGGGTCAGCTGGAGCAGCATGGAATGAGACAGCAGCCAGCAGCAGCAAGCCCAGCTTTACACTTATTTTCAGTTTGAAGTGACCTTTCCCTTGGCCTCAACAAATGAAATTATAATAATATCAAGGTCAGCCTCCACAAATGAACGTATAATAATAAGGCCCCAATCTGGTGGCTGGTTTTGATCCTCTATATTGCTGCTTAACCTTCCAAAATTGTATCAACATGTAACACATGCTATCCCAGCCCACCCAGCCTACAAACAGGTAGGACAGGCAGAGAACCCTGGAGAACCCCTGCTCCACTCCCCCTGCCCACCTTTTAGGCCAGAGTGCATTACCACATCCTGGGATGTCTTTATCCTCCTAACCTGGCCTACACAATCTCACGTGCTACCAGATCCCAAGGAGTCTTTTTTTTTTTTTAAGGATTTTATTTACTTGACAGAGAGAGAGACAGCGAGAGAGGGAACACAAGCAGGGGAAGCAGGGGAGGCAGAAGCAGGCTTTGCACTGAGCAGGGAGCCCAATGGGGGGCTCGATCCCAGGACTGAGATCATGACCTGAGCCGAAGGCAGACACTTAATGACTGAGCCACCCAGGCCCCCTACCAAGGAGTCTTCTCTCTCCTAAATCGGCCCACGCTACCTGGAGTGGGAAGACCCTATCTCTGTCTCCCCTTCCTTCCTTCCCTTCCCCGCCCCACCCGACTTAGGCAAGAACATGAGAAACCAGATCCCAGGGAATCTATCTTATCCCTTGGCCTGGTCCACCTAACCCCTGATCTTCTAAGAAAGCATTCTAACTGAATGAAGCCTCAGAGCTCATCAGAACCTGAGCCGCAATGAGAAACTGTCCCATGACAGCCTCCCTGGACAGACAGGACAGCAAGTGGGAGGTAGCTTTGAGGTAGCACTTTACAAGCCCCCCATCCTTCCCTGTTCCAGGAAGACAGCCTGTGTGGATTCCTGCAAGGCTGCCAGGGCCAAGCTGCTGCCCCACAGACATCCTGCAGGTAACTAAAAGCATTCTTGTCTAAAATTACGCTCATCACCTTCCAACACAAGCCAATCTTTGCTCCTGTCCGCCCACTCCCCCACATCCCCCCCATAGCACCAGCATTCAAATGACCACAAGTTTGAAATTCAAAAATCATTTTTTATCCCTCACTCTCTCTTACCCTATGCATCCCTAAGCTCTCTCACATCTAGCTTTTTCTACTCCCCCGTCACTTTCTTAGTTTACAGAATTTATTCCCACTCATCTGGATTATCACATTAACCTCCAAACCAGTCTTTCAAAATCATGGCTGTCTCTCTTTTCCAATCCATCTTTTACACTGCTACAAGATTAACTCTCTTGAAGCCCAGCTCTGATCAGGACTTTTCCCTGCTCAGAAAACTTCAGACTTAAATAGCTGGGCCTCCTAGTCACATCCTGGCCCCAGGCTGCCTTTCTAACCTCAAGACCTACTTGGTACTCGGGATTAAAAAGACCCACGCTTGAGTCCTAGACCTGCCACTTACTAAACATGTAATCTTGGAAAAGTCAGTTAAATTCCTTGAGCCTCCATATCTTGATCTGCAGGACGAGAATAATGATGACAATAATAATATTAATTATAATAATGCCATATAATAATACCTCAAAGGGTAAAGTTAAAAATGTACTTGTGATGGCACTTTATAAACTCTCTAAGGACCTACAGTTGTAACTATTTTGTAAACTCCACACTCTAATGAAACTCAGCAACTCTACTCTTCATGCCTTTGTTCATGCAGTTGTTTCTTTTGCCTGGAATGCCCTCCCCTCCCCACACCCGTATCCACATGTCCCAATCCTTCAAATCTCAGCTCAAATGTCACCTCCTCTACAAAGCCTTTCCTAACCCTCCTCTTCCTGGTAAGCTGGAAGTCATCCCTCCTTCCTCTAAACTCCCACAGCACTTGATATGTAGATCTTTGCTGATAAACCACTTTCCATTTTGCTGTTATATAAAGCATAGACCTTCTGTACGAGTTCCCCCCCCCACTAGAAAAGTGAGTCTATGTTGTTTTCATTTTTGTTCCTACCATGGTGGCCTTGCCCACAGTGAACGCTCCATAAATATTCACTGAATGAATGATTCACTACAAAATTAATGCGTAAATGGAGGAGAAAAAAAATCGAGGGAAAACCTAAAATGAAAACTGTGGGTTAACAGTTAACCCTTTGCTCTCCTTTTCTTCCTACTGTTAATATTACCACAAATAGCTGTGATTTGTTTTTAAAATCTGTGTTTCTCTATGCATGTGTGCAGGCATGTGTGTCTACATAAATAATACATACACACTTGCACTCATAGGAGTCATCTTGGGCCCAGCTTTAAGGCTTTAATGTTTGGGACAAAATTAATATAGTATAGTCAAAATTACAAACAGAGCACACTCTTCAAGTCACCTCTCAAGTTTAGTATGCACAGTGCAGCTGTGAGGGAGTAACACAACAACTTCTCCCATTTCCCCCTAAGTAAATTGTTATTTTTCCCTCTTTTTTTCTTTTTGGTGAGTTACCCACACAGAGGTCTGGTTCCACCCTGCAGAGTTTCGCTCAAAGGATGGTGCAAACCCTTAATGGTACAGTCCTTGTTCTCTAGGACTCAAAGTGTGTCGAAGTCACTTTTTTTCTTTCTTGCACCTTCAAAAGAACGGTCATACACGATGTAAGAATTCTTGTGATAGTCAATCTAATCATCAAAGTTCTCTGTCACCCTTCCCAATACCTCTTCTGACCCTTCTGCTGCCCGCTGACTTCGTGCTCAAGGCAACTCACAATGAATTGCTTCAGTCGGGGCTAGGGCTCATCTGGCGAGCTTGGAAACCACTCTTCAAGATTTTGTTTGCTGCTACCTCGTCCTGTAACCATCTCTCCCTTCTTTCCATGTCTGAAACATTTACAATGTACTCTCTGTGCTGCATTTTGTCCGGGAATGCCTTTCTTCTTTGCTTTCCACACAGTATTTAGCACACTACTGCAAAAGCTGGTGTACTTGGCTTCAAGGGATCAACTGAAAATGCTTTAAAAGCAAACATCGATGGAGCGAGAGGTTAAGTGCTCAGTATTCATTCCAGCGGTGTGAGGGCGCTCGTGGACCACGAACCCAGCCCTCCGCGGTCGCAGGGAGCCAAATGCACTCGTGTCATCTCTTAAAAGATGTCCCATCATTCCCAGACTCTCTGGTCCCAAAAGTTAAGAACTTCGTTTTCCAGACCTTTCCTGAGGACCCTTCCGGGTCCTCCATAATGCCCCTCTGCTAACTTGGCGCCCTCCATCGGTCGCCAGTCCCTGAGGAGCCCAGCTGCCTCGGGCCCCGATATTTTTATGCATCTCCTTTTGATTATTAACTCAGCTATCCTAAAGTGCCCAGAACATCACGATCCAGAGAGAAAAACCACACGGGCGTCCTAACTCTTCGGACAAACCTTGTTTCCTCAGCTTTGTCCGCGGAACCTCTTCCCCCTTGGCCGGAGAGCGGTCCCCCTCCTCCGCCTGCGGAGCCAGAGCCGGTCCCGACGCCCCCACCCCAGCCCCCGCCAGCCCGCCGCGGCTCGGCGCATTCCTCTCGCGTCCGCGGCGGCACCACGTTGGCACCACTGCCTCGGGCTATCGCGGCCAAGCCCGCCCTCGCCACTCACCTAGCAGCTCCGCGATGGCACTGAAGGGTCGCGTGTGGCTGCTGGAGTTGCTCTGGAGGTAGCGGGGGCTCATCTGGGGGCGAGAGAAGGTCCCGTCCCGCGTGAGGCCTCGGCCCGCCAGGCCCTCCCCGCGCGCCCCCCACAGCCCCCGGGCCCGCGCGCGCGTCCGCCCCCTCGGGCCCCCGACCTACCGTGCTCAGGCGGATCCCAAAGGCCTGTGGGCCGCCGCCTGGCCGAGCCAGCCCGCTGCCCGGCGCGCCAGGGCCAGCGGGGGCCCCTCGATACAGGAGCATTTTTTTGGCCGCCACGATACTCGCTTGCTGCTGCCGGACTCCTCGCCCGGCCGTCCCGGACTGGCCCTCGCTCGCTCTCCCTCGCAGCTGGCGGCGGCCGTCTGGGGCTGGCCCTCCCTCGCTCCCACCCGCAGCTGGCGGGGGCGGGGCGCGCTCCAGCCACCTGTCCCGGGCGGGAGGGGTGAGGCCGGCAGAGCCGAGCGGCAGCCCCGCCCTGTCAGCACCTCTCCCGACCCACCGACTGCCTGCCGGGGCGGCCTCCGGGCCGTACAGAAATATGGCGACCTCCTGACAGCCGCTCCTTGATCCCCGCCCCTAATTAATTCTTGGTGTTTGCCATAGGCCAGGCCGCCGAGGGGGAAGGGGGGGGGGGGGGGGGGCGGGTGTGTGGGGAGGGGCGGGAATGAGGCTAGAGGAGGGAGAGGGTGTAGGGATTTCTGGAACGGAGTCCTAGTACGGCTGCATGACTAACGGGCAGGATAAGACAAGTCTTACAAGTTCGAAAAGACTACAGTTTTGCTATCTGGGAAGATAGCAGTCTTGCGTGATGGGAAAGCATTCTGACTATGCTGGCTCCAGTGCCTCCAGAAGTACCCAGAACTTTCTGGAAGGCAATTGGGAAATCATCTTCAAAGCTTTGCTGGTGTACAGGGAGGCTGTTTATGAAAGAAAACATTGGAATGCACTTACATGTCCCCTAATGCGGGATTGGTTAAGTTATGTAGTATCCATGAAATGGAATACTATGTGGATCTTAAAAGCCATGTTTGTAGATGCATATTTATTGATGTGGGAAATATTCATGAAGGAATTAAACAAGAAGTTACAACATGTGTAACGTGATATCTCTTTTATTGGAAAAACAAGTCTCTATATATGCATATATATTCACACATACATAATACATATGCATGCATATACACACACACAATGAGAAACACTTGACATGATGTATTCCAGGATATCTCCAGGTCTGGAACTATACATTTGTTTATTTTTCTTATTTGCATTTTCCAATTTTTGTGCTATTATACCTACACTCTTTGATTATAGAAAAAAATTGTTTAATTTTAAAAAATACAACATTCCCTGGTATGGATGAAACAATTTATTTGACCATCCTTCTAGGACTACTCAGGTTGTTCTCAACTTTTTTTTTGGACAACACAGGAAGTGCTGCCTCAGGCATCCTCATGTATAGATCATTAATTTCTGGTACTATAATTTCTACAGAATATTGCTGTCTAATAGCATATGCGTGGTTTACTCTTAATAAATATTGTAAGATGGAAGCAATTTGCCCTCAGCAAGTCAGCTATTTTGCCATGCTCATTGTGCTAGATATCTGGTAACTCTTTTAACTTCTTGCGGATCTTCTGAATAAAAGATAGGATCTCCTTATTGTTTTAATTTGCATTTCCCCAACTACCAGTGAAGCTGAAATGTTTGTTGTACATTTGAATCTCCTTTTCTGTAAGTGCCTGTTTATATCCTTTGAGCATCATTTTCCTTCCATTGGGTTCTTTGCATTTGTCCCTTTTTGTGGTATCTTAAAAATTTTTTTAAATACACAAAAGTACAGAAAATGATATAACAAATCCCCATATACTTATTACTCAGATTCAAAAGTTATCAACCTTGCCAGATCTGCTTTATATATTCTTTTCTTCTTTTTTTCATTTTTGTAAGCATTTTATTTTATTTTATTTTATTTTTTTAAAGATTTTATTTATTTATTTGACAGAGAGAAATCACAAGTAAGCAGAGAGGCAGGCAGAGAGAGAGGAGGAAGCAGGCTCCCTGCTGAGCAGAAAGCCCGATGTGGGGCTCGAACCCAGGACCTGGGATCATGACCTGAGCCGAAGGCAGCGGCTTAACCCACTGAGCCACCCAGGCGCCCCAATTTTTGTAAGCATTTTAGATCAAATCTCAAGCATCATATCATTTTACCCTATATACGTCCGTGTCCTCTAAAAATATGGACTTTTCTAAAAAACATAACCACCATGCCATTTTCACCCTAAACAAAGTTCATAACAACTTTTTGATGTCCTCCAGTACAGTCCATATTCTAATCTCCACCATTGTCTCGAAGGTATGCCTTTTTACATTTGGTTTATTTAAACCTAGATCCAAACAAGATGCACACACTGCATGGGGTATTTGTCTTGAACTTACTTTAATTTAAAACAGTCTCCCCTCTTACTTCATGCTTTTGAGTCGCTGAAGAAACCCAGTCCCTTGTAGTGTTGAACGCCCTACGTTCTCATTTGTCTGTTTGCTTCTTCATAATTACCATTCAGCTTGCTCCTCTTGTTAGAGCAATAAGTGTAACTTAACTAGAAATCATGAGTTGGCTCTAAAGCTTTCATTAGATTCTATTACGAAGGTTTTCTGAAAGCAGGAATGCTCGTAGATGGTGCTATAGACTTCCTGTTGCATCACATCAGGAAGTACCTACGATCCAACACTTAATGATATTCAGATTGATCAGTGGGTTCAGGTGGAGGCAGCCTCAATATCCTGCTATAAAGTTCCCCATCAGCCTTTCACTTTATGGTCTCATCAATGTTCATTGTCTGAAAAATAAAATTTATTGGGGTTGCAAAACCATGATCATCTAATCCCCTAAGTTCTTGGGAGCTTAGGCTGTTTGGTTGGTTGCTCTGAAATATAATTCCTGTAGGAAGGAGGATCAATGCCCAATTCTTTCCTTTTCATTGACAATTTTTAGGACGAAGAAGCTGGTGCCTGTGGTGGATGCTGTGATACACCGGCCCATCTCCCATTTCGATAAAGGACTTTGGGGCTGAGCTGCTGAGAATACTGTTGGCAAGCTGACTAGAGCTGTTAGTCCCTTCGGGGATTCCCCAGGTACAGAGACTTGCTTCACTCAAGCTCACCAAGTTTTCTGAGGCGGCCACAGTGTTGGCCCAAAAAAGGAGTAGGAAAGCCTTGACCATGTCAGTCAGACTTGGGACAATTCCGAAGGGTCATTCTAACTCTAGATCTCTCTGTGTGGTTGCCTGAGGCTGCTGGTGGGCCTGCAGCGCCCCTCCACTCCCCCTCTGCCCTTACAAGCTTCCTTCCACAGCTGCTAATCCAAAAGACACCTCTTTTCCTTTCTTGTTTTTCCCCCGAACAACACCTCTTAGTAAGGAAGCATCCTGCATGCTACAATCTATCTTGCAATCCATTTCCTGGGGAACTCAAATGATGATGCTTGAAACGGAGACTTAACCAAGAAATTGGCGCGTAGATGCTACTTGGGAGCTGGGTCACTCACAGCCCAGTTGACAATTAGGACCACATCACAGATAGTCCCCTGCCACAAGGTGGCAGTCCTATTATTGTTAAGATCTTCACGAGGTGGTGAGCTGGAATGGTATATCAGTGGAAGAGAACATACGATCTCGTGTGATATATATTGACTGTTTGAGCAATAGGGGGGAAATAGTAGCTCTAAGACCAGTAGGATGCAGTGGTTATTGAGCTCCCAAGAAGCTTAAACTCCCCCTGGAGACAGGTTTGCTAATGCCAAATTCAGAATGTTTCCTGGGAAAGAACAGGACCCTGACACATGGTTTGGGCTATCTAGATGGATGCCACCAAAATCTCGAATCCCCAGATTTGCCTACAGAACTCATCTGACTTCCCTACTGATAACCTCCTTACCTCTTGCTTGGAGATGATGCAGAATTTCTCCTCCACAAGGCATTGTGCACTTACTTTCCCTCCTGGCCACTGGGCCTATAATGAAGTGCCTGAGCTTGCCTAACAAGGCCTGATGAGGGAGGAAAGTGACTATGCCCCCAGGAAGCCACAAAATCTAGCCAGCATGGATTGGCAGGAGCTGGAAAAATTCCCATGGAATTGGATTCTGCAAGCGCCTGATCGATGGAGCTAGATTATGATGTTGGATACAAGTGAGTTTCTCAATGCGGGAACACTCCTGGAGTGTAGGATTTAACACCCTGACAAGGACCACAAGAAATGGTACAAACTCACTGCTGGGGTAGCTCCTAGAAGTACAGGAAGAGTGAGGATCTATGCTAAGTGAGGTTGGCAGGTCAGCATTGCTGGGGCAATCGTGGAAGAAGGGATAAAAGGATTCAGAGGTGAGCATCCTTGAGTAGATACACTAATCAGGCCTGAAAAACTCAACCAAAGGCTGCGGGATACACCATGTAGCAAAGATGAGGAACGAGCTGGCGAGAGGGGCACCAGCAGCTCTAAGAAATCCGGTCCTGGTTCTCTTCCGCAGGTCAGGCCTGCAAGTGGGAGTGTCCGCTATGGAGCCAGGCTCTCCAGAGCAGCTCTGACAGGATGGAGAGCCTTGGCTGAGAGCAACCATCAGAAGCCAGGTGGGTGGGTGCCTGAGTGGCTCAGCTGGTTAATGGCTCAGGTCATGATCCTAGGGTCCTGGGATTGAGCCCAGCATGGAGCTCTCTGCTCCACAGGGAGCCTACTTCTCTCTATCCCTCTGTGATCTCTCTCACTATTGCCCTATCTCAAATAAATAAATAAAATCTTAAAAAGAAAAAAGAAGAAGTCAGGTGGGCGCAGTTAGCGTAATTAGTAGCAGGCTTGGAGGAGGAGCCAGAAGTGCAGTTATGAAATAGAATATAGCATGGGGGGCAGAGCAGATGGGCAGGGACAATAAAGGTCATTCTGGTGAGGATCGGACCAGAACCCTTATACCTGGAAGGAGCATTCAGAATTTTCCGTGCCAAGTGACCCACTACCGTTTCTTAAAACCTCGTTTGCCCCTCACTTTTATTTGATTCAAGACTTGGAACTACTAAAAATGCCCATTTACTGCTTTCTTCCTTTTTAAAAATTTTATTTATTTATTTGAGAGAAAGAGAGTGAGCAAGCCAGCAAGAGCACAAGCCAGCGGGGAGGGGCAGAGGGAGAAGCAGACTTCCTGCTGAGCCGGGATTCCCAGGACCGTGGGATCATGACCTGAGCCAAAGGCAGACATTTAACTGACTGAACAC